TTTAGAAGGCTTTTTATAGTTCCTAATTTCAGGTGGATTACAATATTAGAAAACCAGTTTATGTGATTTCTGTTGTATGTGTTTTTCTGTGAATTTTAGTATTGAAGCCTTGGGGAGGTTTGTGTGATTTTTAAGATTTAAAAAATTTATCATGTAGTTGTTTTCATTTTTAACTGTGAATTGTATTTTTGTTTGTTAGTTTGAAGTAAAGCACAAAGCTACACAATGGGATACCTGTGCTCTGCCCACCACGGGTATTGAAACCTGGTTTCTAGCGTTGTAAGTCCGCAGACATACCGCTATGCCACTGGGGGGCATGAATTGTATGACTTTATGTAGGTTGTTTGTGTGTTGAAGAAATAATGTTTGTTCATCTTGACAAATAAAGCCATATCTAAGCCAAAATACTAAAACCTTCTTTACTGCTAAAACTTATGTACTTGAGAATGATCGCACCAGTGATCAAAACATCGTACCTGTTTTAAAAAATAATCATCCTTACTGCAAAAGCTGTAACTTGTAATAAAATAAAATTTATTTTTATTTAATGTAAAAAATGTTCTTCCAATTTTATAGTAGATAACAGGAAGCAATTAACATATATTTAAGCACTGAAAATTAACCATACAATTACTGCAATTGTCTGATTTACAGAGTGTAAAATATGAATGGATAATATTGCTAATAAGTTACACTGTATAGGATGAAGAATTTCATTTATCTTTTGATTTCAGAATGTGGTTTTGTACAATATGGAGTTATTACTCTATACTTAATGGCTAAGAAGAAATCATGAATGTTTCTTGTGCTGTTCTTTTCCCTTATGAGTGGCTAGTAGGCATAATCTGACAGCCAAGAGTTCTTTACAATAATGGATTTGCAGACTGATCTCAATATTAATGTTTGTTCTTGCTGATGAGAGGAAGACTTGCAATGATGATAATAATAGATTTGGAGGCTGTATAAGGCTGATGGATCATTGGAAAATTCAGCCTCAAACTCCAACGAAGCAGATGTAGAAGCTGATGGGATGGGGCCAGAAGGCGTTACATTGGCTGACTTGGGCTTCATAAAGTCAGTAATTTTTGGCTGTTTGATTTTCCTCCACAAATCTTTCAAGATTTCTCTGTAGGTTGCTAGAACATCATTAAACCCTCTTTTAAATTTAATGCTTCCCTCAATTATGGGATCCATGTCTACAGGATAGGAAATCAGACTGTGAGGATGGATTTAGCAGGTTCTGTCTCTTCAACGTCTTCAACACTATCACTGTCACTGGAGGCTATCAGTGCTTCAAGTTCTTCATTTGTTGGCTCTTGGTAATGGTATTCCAGCAACTCAACCATCTCCTCATCCTTTATATTATCAAACCCTCATCTCTGATTTCTTTAGCGGGTCTCATTATATCTGTAACTTCCTTCTCAACCATCGAAAGCCCTTGAAATAGTTCATGACTTCAGGCCAAAGATGATGTCAGCATGCATTTATGGTAGACCATTTCATTTCATACCATGACATTTTGGTGATATCGATAGAGTCCTTGATGTTATAAGCTTTCCAAAACTTAAACTTTTGAAAACATCGGAGTCTATAGCTTGGGTTGCATTGAGAGTTGAATGTTTTAATTACTCCTTGGTCCATCGGTTGTAGGATGGATGTGGTATTGGGTGGTAAAAATATTATCTCCACATTAGGATGGCTTAATTGCAGTGTGTCAGGGTCATGGACAGGAGCATTATCAAAACTAGAAGAACCATAAAGTCTAGTTACCCAAGCTTTCTTATTTGAACACCAAACAACAGGCAAGTGTCACTTATTCTTGACCTTTAATGCGGGTGGGTTTGCAGAGCAGTACACTAACATATGCTTGCACCAGATGCATTCTCGAAAAAAAAAAGCAAAGTGAGCCTATCCTTAAAAGCCTTAAACCCGGATGCTACCTTCTGCTCCTTGGTAATGCATGTCCTGTTGCCCATCTTCTTATAAAAGAGTCCTCTCTCATCTGCATTAAACACCTGTTGAGGGGCATATCCTTTTTTTCCTCAATTCATTCAAAGAACCACAGCTTGAACTATGCAGCTGCATTGCTTTTGGCAAACTAGCTTTTACTTGCCTGAAGCTCACTGGTATCGGAAGCACTTTCACCCTCATTGGAGGCTAAGTATTCATACAAACTACGTGCTTTCTCACATATAGCTATGCTATCAACAACAGAGCCTTTTTTGTTCACTGATCCACACATTCAATAATTTCTCCATTTTTTCCATGAATGGATTCCTCCTAAGCACTTGAGAAACCTTAGCACTTATAGGGGCAGAAGCCTTAACACATGCATTGATTTTCTCTTCACTCCTCCTAATCGTACATATGGAAGACACATTCACTCTATGTTCCCAGCCTATGGATGCTACACTCATCCTGCTTTGTAACTTATCAAGGATCTGAATTTTCTCAGCTAATGTTAAAACTTTGTAGCTTTTCTTTACCTAACACTTGGAGATGCTTTACTTTTTGATTCTATATTGCTATCTAAGGGTAATTACAAAAAGCAGCAAAAAATGGCAAAAATAAATTAACTTCATAGCACTGAAGTCACTTGGAAACATGGTAGAGATGAAATGAGGCTCGGGAAGCTGGAGATCGTTTATTTCTATTTTTATGGGCATCCTTTACTGTGCATGTCACAAGGTTTTTGTGTCTATTGGTTATAGATGATATATAATTAAACGCAAGAGAGAACTATTAACAAATCCTGAAAGAGAGGATGTAACAGGTTGGTGTGGCAAAAGTGGTCTGATTTTCTATTTGATAGCTCTGTAATGAAACAAAATTGAAGGCTATAAAAATTGTGTTCCAATATGGTACTTCCCTCCTCTCACAAGATTAGTTATTCTCATCCAGTGCTGCCCTCTATATGCAAATGTTTTCTTTACTCATGTCACAAGCCTTCTGCTCCACCCTATTGGAATCAAATGTCTCTCATGTAATGCATGTGACTCCCTCTATATGCCTCTACCAAACTATCACTTCTCGTTTGACAGTGCCTGTGCTTGGACGTGTTTTTTGTTTGTTTGTTTAAAGTTTCAAATGTTTTAAATGTTTTCTTTACTCATGTCACAAGCCTTCTGCTCCACCCTATTGGAATCAAATGTCTCTCATGTAATGCATGTGACTCCCTCTATACGCCTCTACCAAACTATCACTTCTCGTTTGACAGTGCCTGTGCTTGGACGTGTTTGTTTGTTTAAAGTTTCACGTTCGTCATTAGTTTACGTACGAAATGGTCTTCATTTACTTTTACTTCTAGTTTCTGTTAAGACCGTTTCTCAATTTCACATTAATCCCTGTTTATTAGAGTTGCATTGTTATTTATACTTTTGATTATTGGTTGACTCTTCTGCATTATGAATTGAACGTTACATACGTCAACCTCTGTCTTCGAACCTCGCACCTCTTCCTCCTGAAGAAGCTGAGCCTTTTCAGGTGGATGAAGACTTGGATCACCCATTTACACCTCCTGATTTTGCCATGCCTTACCATGCCCCACCTGAGACGTCAGTTAGGCCTAATACAGTCTTTTTGGATTTAGTTTCTTAGGTATGTAACATTTTATTCCTTTCCCCTATTTCCTATAACCCATGTTCTTCCTTACTACATGACCAATCTTCCCATCCCTATTGGGTTTCCCCCTCCCTGGATATTTGAGTTAATGCCGATTAATGTGCATGACACAAGGTCTCAGTGTCTTACATTCAAAATTTTGTTATGCCACTTTTTGTTTATGATATAACAATCAGTATAGCATAAAATCTTAGCTAATAATCCATATTTTAACAGTATATAAATTTTAAGTTCTTAATTCTGTAACGCAATATTTTAAAAAATCCTGAATTTCCTCTAGTGTTATACATGTGACACATTTTCTCTAGGTAACTTCTGTTCTTTTTTTTATCCACCCTCCCACTCGCCCCCAGTAACAATGAAATGGAATGTAAATTAGACACTATAAAATTGTCATTGCTGAAACAAACCATAATTTGATAGCCTTCAATTTTGTTTGGTTACAGAGTCATGAAATAGAATATTAGACCTCTCCTGCCACACACCCCTGTCACATCCTCTCTTTCAGAATTTGTTGATAGAAAGTCAATGTATGCATCTATCAAATGATGTATTATATTACTTTGTGTTCTGAACAGATAGATGTCAATTTCACTTAAAATACACAGTTTATTGCCATGGGAGTGTTAATGACTAGCTTGGATGAACTTGTAACAGTTCTTGTTGCATAGTTAGAAAGCCAGAAAAATTTTGAGAGTTAGGGGAAATTGTCTATTTTTTGCATTTTATTAGTCTATGTTCTTTGGTGCATTATTTATTATAAAATGCAATTATAAATAGATGTATACCATTATAAGCTTAAAGCTATATAGGATAAATAAATGTAGTTTCATGTTACAATTTGAAGTCATTTTAGAAAGAAAAATATGTTATTTAAATTTTTTTTTGGTAGTCACGAGGTTGGTCATATTGACTAATCCTGTATAGAGATAGAGAAAATAACAGACAAAATATAAAGTTTTACTGAAAAAAACAAAACATTTTCATATACTGATCAAGAGTAAGATATAAACAGATTTTTGTATATTTGGCACTGAAGTGATTTATATAAGTATGTGTAAGTCAATGTAAGTCAAATATTTTCAGAGATGCAATATTGATTTAGTAAATTAATCTCAAGTGGTAATACCCACAGTCACAAAAGTTGTGCAGCAAAAATTTCTTTGGCCATTAAGTGACAATATGAGGCCAAATATTTTGCTAAAAATTTCTAGCATGTACATAAGAATGGAGTTCAGATTTGAAAACCTGAATAAAAATTAAACATCAGCATTTTTTCTTGGTTGTGCTATTGCAACATTAATATAAATGTTTAATGGATAAATTTAGGTGCTGAAAGCCTTACTAAGATAATAGCTTTCATTAATCAATATAAGTCCTTACTTGCCAAATTTGGTCATTAGGAGTTCCAAGCAGTTCAATAATCAATTCTATTTGATGGATTTCTGATCGTCCTGGCAACAGTGGTTTGTGAAGCAAAAGCTCCCCCAGGATACACCCTGCTGCCCTAAAGTATTATAAACTAAAATTAATAATTTTCTATTAATAAGTTAGTAAATAGGCAATCATACTTTAAAATAATTAACATAAAGAATCATAATAGAATAAACTTAAAAGAAACAAACAAAATAAGTCTGATATTCAAGCCTGCATTAAGGCAGTTTGAGGCCCTGGCACACTTATTTTTTTGAGGACCCTTGAATATGGTACAAGCAAATTTGAAGTTAATTATAATTAATACATATTAAGTTAATTACAGAATATGAGCTGATTATTCAAAGTAAATTAGAATATGATGCATCTAACTTTTAAGAATGATGTATTAAAATTAAATGATTATAATAATAATTATTTACTTGTACAACATGGCAAGTAAGAGTGAATTAGGTACATAAAAAACAATATATTAGGTCGTCAAGAAATTAATGTCACATTTTGGAACACTTTCATTATCTTTATATTACAGTTTATATTCAGATCAAAATGCAAGACTTTTCAGATAGAAATTACATTTGTGCTGTTACTACAGTATACATATCAATATACACTTAGATGAAACACAATTCCATCACTGCATGTGAAGTAGTTATATACATAATTAAGTGTACTGAAAACAATCTAGTTAGGATTGTATCACATACACTACATAACTTTTTCCACTCAATTAGACCAAACAGGTCATTCTCTAAAAACATAAGAAAATGTTTTGCCTCAGTAAGTCAGAAAGCAAGGGTAACGACACTCTTTCAGTAATTGATATTTCAACTACATGACCATTCCCGCTCTTGATAATTGTTCAGGTATCAAACAATCATCCTATGTGTACCTATTATTGTGAAACACTGTTTCATAGCTTAGAAAGTAAGAGATGCTAAACTTTTTGTGTCTCATTGATCTCATGATCAGCAAAACATGATAACTTACAATAATTAGGTAGCTATCTTTCAATATCAGGCAGATATCTCTCAATGAAATTCTGCTCAATAGCTCAGAAAGTAAGGGTTACAATGTTCTTTCTAGGGCCTTTTCAAACCTCTAGCTACTACCTTTAGTTGTGCAAAGTGTTGATGTACTAGGTATTAAATATACTAACTCCAGCCATCCTAGCTTATAATAATTGAGTGGTAGTCATAAATTGCAACACATAATTTATCAGACAATACCATCCAACAAAATGGAAAGCAAGGAATGCTTCTACTTTTTCAGTCAGTGATCCTACAATCAGTGACTGCCTTAGCTCCAGTAATCAGTTAATCTCAGCAATATTGCAGAAGAGGCTAGTGGTGGCAGGTCAGTCAACCATCAGAGCAAGTTCTCACCTCTTAATCCAGTTTCCTCATTCTAGCTCAGGATACACAGCCAGATAAGTAGTCTCAAATCTTTTTTCATTATGCAAACACTTGACTGAGTTAAGCACTGAGTCGTGCAGATTCAGTATCAGACAAGACATTGTCTTTTCCTGAATTCATTCTTGGCAAACAGTGAACTGTCTTAAATTATTAACAGTGGTTCAGATCTTCCTTGGTTGTATCCTCAAATGTCAGGGGAGAAATATACTTATTCCTACTTATAGGGACCTGTGGATACAGCATAATCCTAAAGTAAGGAATACGGTGTAGTAGGCATCTCCTGAATGCATGGAAATCAGCTATCATCACACTCATTCTTAAAAAAGGATCAAACTCTAAAACTCCAACTGACTTCAGGCCCATTAGCTTAATCAACTGCACAGGCAAACTTTTAGAGAAAATAATAATACACATTCCAAATGCAAGATACAAAAACAGACAAACCACAGGCCACCTCGTATGATTAATGGAAACCAAATATACCAGGTTTAACAAGTTAAAAATCAATATTGCCACCTTCCTAGCCGTATAAAAAGCCTTTGGCATGGTTTGGCACAATGTACTTAAATACAAGCTAATGAAATATAAAATACCAATTACTTTCTAAGTGGATATAAAATTTTCTAGAAAACAGGTCTGGAAAAGTTAAAATTAACACTACTTTATCCCAACCCTTCACGTTTAATGCAGGCATACCACAGGCATCTGTTCTAAGCCCATTACTCTTTGTTAACAACCTAACATGGCCAACCACGCCTTTCACACATGCCTCACAATACAAAGAAGACATAGCACAATAGAGCACCTCTTGGGACCCCCACTAGCTGCAAGGAAAATTCAGAGAGCTCTCAACAAAATAACACAATAATAGTGCAATAAATGGAGAATAATATTCAATCCCACTAAGACTCAAGCAATTACCTTTTACCTTATGCTAAATGAAAGACTAAAATGTATTAAATTAGCTAAACATAGCCTCTATAATTCCCCCATCATGTTCTCTAAAACTGCAAAAATTTTAGGTATAACAATCAACCCTAAACTAACCTCAAGGAGAAGCACCAAAAAATAAGAACAAGATGATCAAGCTGGCAAAACAGTGTATGGAAGCCCATGGAGGGAGTATAATGGGCAAGTCCAAGAATATCCAGTTAAAGTCGAAACCAGTGTCAGCTGACCAGAAGTAGGAGTCCACCAAAGGTGTCAGGAGTTTAAAAGACATATGGGAGAAGAGATGCTATGCTTGTTATGAAATGGGGCAAATTGCGAGAGAGTGCAAGTTTGTCACCAACAAGCAACAGCAGAAATCTCAACAGAAAGCAGAGTGATGCTATATTTGTCATAAAATAGGGCACACTGCAAAGGAGCTGAAGCTAGTTATAAAGATAGTGCTGGTAAGGAACAAAAAAGAATGTCACCATGGATGCTGTTGCTAGAAGAAATATAATCAAGAAATAATGTCAGATTCATCAGAAGAAGGAAGTGCTATTTCCATGATTCACCAGTGTATGACTAATAGTCAGCTGAAGTTAGTAAATGGATCAACAATGCTAGTAGTGATAGGAGCATGTTACAAATATAAGAGATGCCAACAAATCACAACATGTCAATAGGCGAAGGCTATGTCAGGAACAAGAAAGTAAAGATCCTATGAGACACTGGGTGCAGTAGTGTAGCAGTGAGACCCAGTCTAGTATCTGATGATCAGATGATAGTCATGGTGTGCCTGTGTGTGTTAATTGATGGGACAGTGAGAAAGTTCCCCATAGCAAAAAAAAAGAGACAATACTCCATACTATGTAGAAGACCTTGAGGCCATGTGTGTGAAGGCATCAATGTACAACTTGGTGATTAGAAACATACCAGGTAGTAATAATGCTGATAATGACAAAACCTTGTCCAAACATTACACATTTGCTGTTATGTTAAACTTATATTAAAGTTTTTCTTCATTACCCATTCAAGCCATCTCCAAGCATTATTAGTCTTAAAGTGGGTTCCTCATCATCGAATTTGAATACCATATAGTAGAAATGTTGAAGTACTAAACAGTAAGAAGACTGATGTGGCATCTGCAGTCACAACTAGAGCTCAATGGAAAAAGAAAAAGCAAGACACCAAGCCCTTGTAAGTAACAAAGAGTAACATCCCAAATGTAGGTCTACAGGAGCTGAAGAAAGTGCAGAAGACCTTTCTCTGCAAAAACTTCAGGACAATGCCTGATAGAAAGTCAAACACAATACAAAATGGAAAGGAACTTACAAAACATGGGACTGGAAAGGACTATAGAACTGGACCTATCAAAGCAGTTCTATTGGTGAAGTTAAACACATCAAAGGCAGTGAGGAGTACTTATATAACAAGATCAAGGATCAACATTTTGAGATTGGACAGAAGGTCTTAGTTCTGCTACCCACAGCCAACAACAAACTCACCCACCACTGGAAAGGAATTTTTGCAGTACAGGAAGTGGTCAATAGAATGCACTATAAGGTGAAAGTAGATGGGATGACCAAGGTCTACCATGCCAAACTGTTGAAAAGGTACTTCCAGAGAAAAGACCTTATGGGTGCAGCTATTGAGGTACAGATGGACATCACAGGTATCGCTGTCATAGAAGCAGAATCTGAAAACATTGTAAGTAATATTTTAAATATTTTTCTTGAAGAGGGCTTATTATTGGATATACAAGATTGTTTAGTGTAAGTTATTAATTAGTTTATTTCATGACTTAATATTTAATGATTGTTTAGTTTTCACGACAGAAGTGTTGATTGTTTTTAAAGCATTAGTTGTAACAAATTTTCTTACATAACTCTATACGAGTCATACCTTGCATATGCAATTAGATTGTTGTACTAGGCTTTACTAATATTGTTGACATCTTATTACCCGAATCTTCAGTACCTTTCTCGTTACCATTATAGCATCGTGTAGTTTATAGAAAGTTCGAGGCCTTAGTGAATAAGGTATATAAATAGGTGACTAACAAGTGCAAGTTAAGAGAGAAAAGTCAAGTGAGAGATAATTAGACAGATCTAGACTGAGTGATTGGCAGTTTAACCATGATGAGCAATTTATAAAGTTAGAAGTTTAGTCAGAAAATGTTAAGTTAGTGAATATGAAGTTAGACTACATGATTGTTAGTTTAGCCAAAATGGGCAATATGTCAAAGTGAGTTTCACAGTTTAACAGAGATAAGGAAAATAATTTGTCTTGTCAAAAGGATGTTCTAAAGTAACTGAACCCACCTGTGTGGACTTTGAGGGAAAGGAGAGAATTACTTAAAGTTCTAGATACAACTGTGGTAACCCATGGTGTAACATAAGTGAATTTAGCACAGATTGTGTAGCAAGAAACAGAGTACAGAGAAATAATTCATCTTGTCAATTGGGTTCTAAAATAACTGAATGAGCCTGTGTGGGCTTTTGAAAAGAAAAGAGAATTATTACGAATTTTAGATACAACTGTATTATTCCATAATGTAAACAATTTTTGTACATATGTTTGACTTGTTTTGAATATATTATTATAAAACAAGTGGATTGTGTGTTGTCTGTTTATTGTTCGATTTTATTGCCAAAAATCAGAAACACCTATTGTAAAGAATACAAGCCCACATATACAAAACCCTGATATCACAGTCTCACCAATATCT